AGCTCCTTCGCACCGTCCAACTCCCTTCACCAGGACAAGAAAACTCAAACAAAGCCCTCCTGACAAAGAACCATCCAGCCATAGATATAGATAGATATGATTCTCACACACAGAGAGATATAGTATGATATATTTGAAAGGGACCCCTAAAGAAGGACAATAATATGTTGCATGTTCCAGAGTAGGCAAACTAGACAATCTCTACTGACAAAGAAACAACAAGAAGTACTGTTTATCCACAAGCATCAAGACATTACATATATTAGAAACCAACACTTTCTCATTACTTTATTTTCGAGATCATCAGACTGGGCCACAGCAACGGGTGGCAGGAGATGGCTAGTTTAGAATAAAACTAAAGAGAACAGGGAAAACACACAGACCAGTTAGATATGATCTCACTAACATTCCTAGTGAATATGCAGTGGAAGCACAGAACAGATTTAAGGAACTCGATTTAATAAATAGAGCCCCAGAAGAACTATGGACAGAAGTTTGCGACATTGTTCAGGAGGCGGCAAAAAAGCACGTCCCAAAGAAAAAGAAAACTAAGAATGGACATACAAATCAAACGAATGGGACAAATTTTGGGCCCATTATTACTATGTGACCTCCCTGCTGCAGCCATCGTCACCATAACCTGCAAGTCTTCCCTGTTGCCCCTTTGACTGTACTTTTCCTGCGTGGCAGAAACAAATTTACTGTGGCCCCTGGGGTTGATCCTATCATGATGATGATGATGATGATCATTCCAATTGCTGGGTGGCCATCTGTTGGGGGTGCTTTGACTGTGCGTTTCCATCAAGATAGAAGCAGGTTGTGTTGCGATAAGCCCTTGCAGGACCAAGTATGTGTGTGTGAAGAAAACCTTATGAGTGGTAATTATCTTGTTCAGCTGGCTAAGTAGGTCAACCAGCAATCTTGTACTACACCCAAGGGGCTATAACTGTTCTTTTGAATACATTCTGGTTCACCAGCATGGAGTTCTAGCAGGAGATGCTGAAGGAGAGATCCTAAGGGAGAGCCTTTTCTCGGAGGAGACCTTTGGACAAACGTTTGGCTCTGGGGAGCAGTTTGGAGAAGCTATTTATTTCGGGGTTCTTTTACCCCGCCCTTCTCACCCCGAAGGGGACTCAGGGCGGCTTACAGAAGCAAAGGCACAATTT